CTTGTCTAACAGCATGGGAAGGCCGCGTCCTTCCCGATCCCAGCGCTGCTCCCCGCGTCCCCGTGCCGCGGGGCTGCCTGCTTGGCCTGCATGGGGCTCCTGTGCATCTCGTGTCTCGGCGCTGCCTCCTGCGTGAAAGCAGCCTTAACCCAGCTGCAAAATAAACGTTTTTTTTCCTCCACCGCGAACGTGTCTTAACGAGCTTGACGTTGGTACAGGGGTATCTGCTGACAGCCTCTCTGCGCTGACCCTCCGGGAGCTCCCATTAATTATTTTCGTTAGTGAAATGTTAATGCGCTAATGACCGGACGGCTCTTGCCGGGGCAGCCCCCTTCTCTCCCGCTCGGCTCCCAGACCGGCGGGTAGTTCCGGGGGGAGCGAGGTGGGAGCGCGGGTCCATTCCTGCGTCCCTTGAGGAAACGGAAGCCGCAACACGGGGGACTTTAATAAGCAGTTACAAAATAGCAGAATAAGGAGGTATTTTAACAAGCCGTTGGAAGCTACCCAAACCCTTTGACTTGCTTGGCCAGCAATATATGCCATATAGTTCACGTAGCAGCCGCTGTGAAGCAGGCTGATAAATTCTGGTAAATCTGTAAAACTTACGTGTTTGTTTTTAACAGGGGAGTCAGCGTGAGAAGGGAGCAGCACCTAAAAGGCAGCTTGGGCACAGCTTTGGGGGCTGTGTGTGCCCGCTGCAGCGTCCCCTTTGCTTTTGGTACAGCTGGGCCGGGTTTGGCCCGTGAATTGGCTCTGCACCCTAAATAAGTGGTGGGAAGGGTGAACATCCCCTTTGCTGCCAGCCCCAACACTATTCCCCATGGGAGCTGGAATCACAACTCTGGGTGCTGCGGTTCTTTGCACAAAAATGAAGACGTTGGAGTATTTTCCACCCTTATAAAAGCAGATATGTACCTAGTGGACGTGTGCACCCGAAAGACCCTCTGCTGAAAAATCACCTGCCAGGAGCATCATCACAACTCTGGGTGCTGCGGTTCTTTGTGCAAAAATGAAGACGTTGGGAGTATTTTCCACCCTTGTAAAAGCAGATATGTACCCAGTGGACGTGTGCACCCAAAAGACCCGCTGCTGAAAAATCACCTGCCAGGAGCATCAGACGAGACTCTGGAGCTCGCTGGATGCGGGGGTGCCTTGAAATTATTATCCTCAAGGAATTTATCCTGTTTTGGGGACACAGATTCTTTTGTGGCCGGAAAAGTAATCTATTAAAGCAGGAATTACCCAAACATTTAAATATATTTATCTAAACTATGTATATATGAATATTATCTGAAAGTGTCTTGCATTTGACAGATAGTATTGCAGTGTCTGTGACTATAACATCTCTAAGCGTACAAAGGAGGGCTGGTGTGGAAAGGGCAGAGTCAAATCCAGCTGATTTAGGGGAATCTCCCTGTCCCGTGGGCGCGAAGGGAGCGGGAGGCTGCTCGGGGGGCTGCCCTTGTCCCTTGCTGGCAGCCAGGGGTAAATGTTCCGGGGGGAGAATCCTGCTCCGGTGAGTCCCAGGGTGCTGCTTCATTAGCTCTAAAAAACCCAGCCTGTTACATGGTTCATTTTGATAAAACTGCGTAATTTTGGGCATGGTAGCAACGTCTCAGGGAAACTGTAGGAGTTTGGTAAAAACCATGAGTTTATTGTGTCTCGGAGCTGTGTCCTCGTTCCGCTGCTTTGGTTTGCATGGAATGCCTGGGTTTGTTCCAGCCGGATGCGCTGCGGCTTGGGGTAGCGCTCCGGCTGGGCCCACGCACTCGGGGCTGGGGCCTCATCCCGAATTCTGCTCCGTGCCCTGCAAAGTGACATCGCAGCAGCTGGAAAACTGCTGGAAAAACTGCACTGGCGTTACGGGATGGGGAGCAAAGGGCAGCAAAGCCCAAGAACGAGGTGAAACCGCTGCCCTGAGAGAGGGTTTCATCCCCTGCCCGTGGGGCCGAGGGCTTCATCGTTAGCAAGGGCTCAGGACAGGGTATCCGGGGTGTCCTAGAGCAGGAAGAACGGGCATTTTGCACCCAAACTGAGCCCTCTGGTTCGATTTTGCACCCAAACTGAGCCCTCTGCTTCGAAGCACAGGTGGGAATTGTCAGCTAACAGGAATATCTACAATTTCCTCGGAAAGATTTGCTAAAGGCCAGAACGGCATCAGCTTGTGGCACCTTCCCAAAGGGGTGTGCTGAGGAGGGTGAGTGACTCTAGATGTGTCAGCGTGAGGAAAAGCATGGCAAAAATCACGGATATGTTATTGAACGATTGAATCAAGTAGGGATGCTATAAACGCCAGTCAAGACAGCTTTCGTTAGGAAAAGTCCAGGCAAGATTTCATTTCTTAGTGCAATTTTAAGTTATATGCAGATGAGACTGTACCTTTCCTTCGATTTTTTGTAAAATGCTCTAATTTTATCTGATATTTTGATATGATTGAAAAAGTACATTATGAAGCAAAGGTCATGCGTGTGTCAGGTTTGTTCTCAGTACCCCAGAGCTTTTATGAAGCAAAGGTCATGCGTGTGTCAGGTTTGTTCTCAGTACCCAAGAGCTTTGCTGAATATTGGAGCACAGCAGTAGGGTAAATCTTGTGCTAGGTCTAAGGTTGCTCCATGTGTATTTAGTGCTCTGGAAAAAATACAAAATTCTGAAAATTTTCTAGGAATGGTGCTCAACAGTGATGGGGGAGTGCCGGGTTTATAGTTAGATTGCGGGAAGCAGCTGTATAAAATCTACCTCCATGCAATTAAATGCAGAAACTGCGTGTCTAGGAGCAGGGATGGGTTTGTGCACGGAGACGGGAGGGCTGGACGTGGAGCGGGCCCAGGGAGCCCTGGGGGACGCGGCTGCTCCTCTGCTCGCTCCCTCCGTTGTGTCGCACGCGTTTGGACCGTTGCTAACGCAGCTAGCGCTGTTTGGCCTTGCAGAGTCCACGCTGCGGGGGGAAGCCCTGGGTGTTTAACGGGGCTGTTTTCTGCCCCTGAGCAGAACCGTGGAACCCCTGGAGGCGAAGGAGCCGCTAGAGCTGATGGGGATTCCCGGTGGCTGAGGCCGAAGGGCCCTTTGGGGATCGCCCCGTGCAGCCCTGCGGGGTCACGGTCACCGGAGCAGCGCCGCGAGGATGCCCGTGTCTGACCAGCAGGGCGACCGTGCAGCCGCGATGTCCCCTGCTCCTCGCGCGGCTCCGGCTGCGCCCGCGACGGCGGCTCCGGCTCCCGACGCTGGCCTTTTCC